TTATTGGTTTAAAAGAATAAAAGAACCATATACTTTAGAAACAATAGTCACATGGCAGACTTGATTTTCCTCTATGATATTATTGTTCCTGAGAAGTGAAGATGAGGGAATTATGAAGACATTGTAAAACTTTGTTAGTGTTTTATGTTCATTTTCAGTTCAAAAATGTTCATTGTATCATCATTTTAATTTTATTAATATCCTAATTTATATATGTTCTAACTTGTAATATTTTTTTAAATATAATTTTAAAGGGTTGTTATATTGTTAGTCTGGGGAGGTAATTCTTGCCCATGGCATTATCTTTATAACCAGTAAATAAATTTAAATGAAGCTTACATTTTTTTAATTAGTCAAAAATATTTTTTTATAAAATATTTCAGAACATCTTATAATTGTTTCAGTTAAATTATTTTTCAAGTTACATAAATATTCAATTTAATATTGTTGATTAAACTATTTATATGATGATGTTTACATTAATATAGGCCATAAAAAAGAATGAGATATGTGGTATATAATATTGTTAATAATTATACTATTTTTTGTAAATTATTACTGTAGAGTCCCAGAAACTCAACCCTCGATAACTTGACATTCCGTAAAACTTGTCTGTCATCCAAAAAAAGAAAGTTATAAATTTTATCTTTATAATTTAACACTAGAATCAAATAAGCTATTGTTCTTCATTGATAACATTTCATAATAGCATCAACTTCACATGTTGACAAAGAATATAACCCTTTTTCCAAGGTGTCACTGCAAAATGCCATGTCCTGAATTTCACTAACTCAAAAGTAGACTGAATAGCCAATATTTTTTTTACATTAATATTTAACAACAAATAGAAATAGTCATTATTGGTACCAGTTAATATACTTATATGTTAGAATTCAGCTGTAAAATTCTTTATTTTCAATAACTTTTCACCTGCTCAAGTTCACATTAAATCGAATATCTGGGACTCTATTATATATGAAAAACAGTTATTTACCTTATGAAAATCTTCTGTTTTCATTACTATTATATTGGATACAAGAAATTAACTTTAAACAAATTTTTAAACTTAATTTAATTAAATCATTTTGTTAAGTGATTGATAATATCCATTATAGAACATTTTACTTCGACCATTGCAAGGGTATAGCTATGGATTTACAGCTCCTTGACAGTGGGGTGCTGGAGGTTTAAGGGGTTTTTGGGATGCAATGTAAGAGAGTTTGTAAGGGTATTCTTTTTGATTTTTTCTTCAAACATTTGTCTAATAAATAGACATATTAGAAAAAAATTTCAACATTAATTAAATATTTAATCTTTTATATTAAAACAATTATGAACAAAAAATAAACTAACTTTTTAAATAAAAGAATAAAAATATAGACTAATTTATTATTATTCTTCAAATAAAACATTCTTTTAAATGTCAAAGCACTGTAACTTGGCTTTTAATTAAAATTTCTTACATTAAATTTTATAATTTAATAATAATTTCATACTTACTTTACTGAATGGTTAGAAAAAAATGAGTCTTACATTCTTCAATTAATCTTTAACAATGTTCTTTTGCTTTAATTTAATAATTTACATTTTGAGTATAATTAATTTATAAAATGACTTGCACTTTAAAGAAGTACATTCATCTTTATTCTTAACATTAAAATGATACATTATTATGCTGTAGTATTAAAAAAATAAATAGTAATAATAATCATACAACTGATTGAGTTTAATTAATACAAAAGTTTAATTCTCATATAATATATAGAGAAAATTCGTAGATTTAATTGGAAACAATCTGAATCAAAAACTCGTTACAAAGTTATAAATATCAGTTTATTGCTAATAAATTAAGAATATATCTTGTAAATGATTTTAATGGATTTTTCTGACTTTATATATTAATTCATTTTGACCTTGAATTGTAAGTTACGGATGATATTATATAAAGTACAGTATAACTATTTAGTGTTAGTTTTCTTGAAAGTAATGTAAACAATTAACTGTTTTTTCTGAATTTAAGAAACTAGCAGAATAAATGTATTCAATTTTTAAGTATTGTACAGTACCTCATTACAGAAAGTGGTTTCTTCACAGAGAACAATTTTCATTAATTATTTATTATTCAAATTTGGAATTCTGTAGACCTTTGTCAGGAATAGCTGAGATCAAAGATGTAATGTTTGATTTCTGTAGCAGAATGTTCAAAGAACAGCTACAAAATTTGAATTATAAACAGTAATTTTCGAATAGAAAATTTAAAACAAAATGTTCAGGGAATAACTGAAAATTGCATGTGCATTCATTAAACCAGGATTTAAAATTGAAAACATCACCAGAAATTATTGACAATGATTGGATGACTGCATGTTTAAAGAGAAGGTTTGTAGCAGGCTTGTGAAACTTGTAAGATTGAGCTTTCTTTCTTGCACTATTCTGGAAGGATCAGTGCAAGAAAGAAAGCTCAATTTCACAAGCTTGGCAAGTCTGTTATGATCCTTCTCTTTAAACATGCAGTCATTCAATCATAATCAATAATTTCTGGTGACACTTTATATTTTAAATTCCAGTGTGGCAAATGCTTGTTTTTTATTCAATTTTTAATATTTTGAAATGTTCTGATGTTTGCAAAAGTTATATATTAGCGAGGTTGAGGTCAAAGTTTTAAATACGAAAATGTGTATGTTGGACGTTCAGCGCCACTTTCCTGTAAGCCTAAAAGTTTGACAATGGTGTTTGGATAGTCAGTGGAATTATGCTCGACATTCCAAACACCATTGTCAAACTTCTAGGCTTACAGGAAAGCAGTGCTGAATGTCCGACATACATGTTTTTGCATTTAAAACTTCGGCCTCAACCTCGCTGTTGTCAAAAGGCAATATCTAACTTTAAAGTTTATTGGTTTAAAAGAATAAAAGAACCATATACTTTAGAAACAATAGTCACATGGCAGACTTGATTTTCCTCTATGATATTATTGTTCCTGAGAAGTGAAGATGAGGGAATTATGAAGACATTGTAAAACTTTGTTAGTGTTTTATGTTCATTTTCAGTTCAAAAATGTTCATTGTATCATCATTTTAATTTTATTAATATCCTAATTTATATATGTTCTAACTTGTAATATTTTTTTAAATATAATTTTAAAGGGTTGTTATATTGTTAGTCTGGGGAGGTAATTCTTGCCCATGGCATTATCTTTATAACCAGTAAATAAATTTAAATGAAGCTTACATTTTTTTAATTAGTCAAAAATATTTTTTTATAAAATATTTCAGAACATCTTATAATTGTTTCAGTTAAATTATTTTTCAAGTTACATAAATATTCAATTTAATATTGTTGATTAAACTATTTATATGATGATGTTTACATTAATATAGGCCATAAAAAAGAATGAGATATGTGGTATATAATATTGTTAATAATTATACTATTTTTTGTAAATTATTACTGTAGAGTCCCAGAAACTCAACCCTCGATAACTTGACATTCCGTAAAACTTGTCTGTCATCCAAAAAAAGAAAGTTATAAATTTTATCTTTATAATTTAACACTAGAATCAAATAAGCTATTGTTCTTCATTGATAACATTTCATAATAGCATCAACTTCACATGTTGACAAAGAATATAACCCTTTTTCCAAGGTGTCACTGCAAAATGCCATGTCCTGAATTTCACTAACTCAAAAGTAGACTGAATAGCCAATATTTTTTTTACATTAATATTTAACAACAAATAGAAATAGTCATTATTGGTACCAGTTAATATACTTATATGTTAGAATTCAGCTGTAAAATTCTTTATTTTCAATAACTTTTCACCTGCTCAAGTTCACATTAAATCGAATATCTGGGACTCTATTANAAGGCGGGATCCAAGTTGAGGGTTGGGATCGAAGGTCTTCTAATATGTGGTGCGGCCGGTTAGAGGGAAGCGAATGTCCGTCTTGATGGTGCGATGGCGACTTCTTGATCAGCGACTCCCCGGAGAGGGGGAAGGAGGATGGCTTTTATACCTTTTTGGTGGGAAAATTCGTCAGGTGATCAATTGTTTTAGCAGGTGTGGGGTTAAAGGTGGTGTTAGAATGACAACAATATGACGAATTTCGCCGATAACTGTAAACTATATACGGTTTGATCGTGAGAATGTTTATAGTTAAACAAAAAGAGTTATAATTCTCTCATGTACTTTATATTTTGTTTTTGTAGGGTCAAATTCCTTTGGTTGAGGGCATTTTTATTTTAAATTTATTAAACTTTTAAAGGATTAAATGCTTTTATTAACTTTGAATTTCACATCAGTATCTTTTTCATAAGTATATAAGTATCTTTTTATATTATGTTCATTAAATTCAAACCATTTAATTTAGTCTTAAAATTAATATCTAGTCTGATTCAGTTTTACTATAAAGTCAATTTCATAAAGTAATCTATAAAATAAAACAATTCAAAGTGATCCAAATGTTTTAAAGTTTATTTAACCATCTTCAAGATATATGTGTATGCTCCTTTAAATTAAAAAGTTATTTTAAAATGTGAAGAAAGTCTATAAAGATTGATAAATAAACTTAAATTTAAGGAAATTATATTCCTGATTGTTTTACTTTGTGGACACGATTAATTTTATGAATTGTTTTATAATTAGAAACTGGAATTCTTTAATAGTTTGATAGCAATTTCCATATCAATCTGTGTATTCATTTTCAAAGAAAACTATTATAATATTTAAAAAGAAATTGTCAAAAATAGGTACTATTGATATTTATACACACAAAAATTTTTAAATTAATATTTTATAGTAATTCAATTAAAATTAAATTAATTAAAGTATTTGTTTAAAGTCAGTAGTAATTATTTAATGACGATAAAAATTATAAAAATAATTCAATTTATTATAACTTAATTTTAATATAATACGATTTTTAATTGTGGTTATTAATGAAACTTTATTTTCATTAAAAATCAAGAATTTAAAAAATCTGTTTTTTTTAAAAGTAAAAATGGCTCTGAATTACTGTTACTTATTTATTTCAGGTTCGTTTGCTTTAAAAACATTTTTGAAAAATCCAAAAAATGTACAAGAAACTATTCAATCACAGAATCTCTCCCTTAACTCTGATGTTGTAGACTTATTACTTAATAAGAAAATTCTTCTTCAGGGAATACAGAAGGTATTCTTGTTATAATATGTAAATGGATTGGTTTAGTTAATTTGTAAGATATTAATTTTTAATAAACTAAATTAAGATCTTACAATAATTGTTACATTTGACACCTGTCTTGCATGTAGAATTTTTTATAATCTCTTTAATGACTACATTTTAATTGAATTGTTTTAGTTTATGCAATTATTACAAAGTTTGATATTTAAATAATAGTATAATGAACTAAAATAAAATATTACAAATTATTAATATACTTTGTATACAATATATAATTGATATTTAAAAAATTAAATATCTATGAATTACAATTTAGGTTATTGACAAAGGTTACAAAGAATCTCACCATTACTTATGTGAAGGAGATGGTTTTCGACACCTCTTTCGGTTAAGTAATAGCACAAAAGCAAAAGTAATTCAACAACAAATCTGCAATTTGGATTCAGATGAATTATCTATCCTGTTTTCTGCAATTATAAAAGAAATCAATGGAACAGCCATTTTTGTGGAGGTAGTTTAATAATTTTTTTCTTGTTAATTAAATTTTCTTAATTTAATTTAAATTCATTTTTAAAAATGTTTAATTTGTTTTATTAACTTTATTTTTAATTTATTCTTTCAAATGTATTTAGCTTTCCAATATCACTGCCAAACATGTTGGAAGAAAACTAGTTTTTGAGAACTGGAAACAAGTAGTTAAAGATGGAGAAGTAATTTTTTTGAAAGTATGATTGGACTAAAATTACTCTTGTAAAATTTAATTAAATAATAATTTTTTTATAATTATAATATTCTATCAAAATTTTAAAGCTTTTAATCCAAACTTTTGTTAATTTCAGGCAACACAATTAAACAGTCTCAACATACTTGTGAATCAAACTGAATCAAGTTTAGAAAATCTGAAAGAAATTATTGATTNTAATTAAATAATAATTTTTTTATAATTATAATATTCTATCAAAATTTTAAAGCTTTTAATCCAAACTTTTGTTAATTTCAGGCAACACAATTAAACAGTCTCAACATACTTGTGAATCAAACTGAATCAAGTTTAGAAAATCTGAAAGAAATTATTGATTTTGATAATGAAAATAATACTGTTAAACTCATTCAATTTGCTGTTTGTGGAAGGAATACATCTACTTTCTTTGATCCTGAAACACAAGGTCCTGTTAGACATATTGAGGAATTGAAAGAGCAAATGAAAAAAGATCGGGAAGGTTTTGGTCAAAATAGAGCCGAATATGTATATAGTTATGATAATACAACAAGTAAGTTAAATTTTTTTATTATAACTTGCTAATTAGAAAAAAGAAATGAATACACATCAAATGTTTATAAGTTAAGAAAAATAATTTTAAATTATCTACTGAAATGAGACTTTTTCTCTTTCTTATATAAAAGCAATGTGCAATGTAGGAGAAATTAAGTTATTCAAAAACTTTTGACTTTTTCAGAAATGTCATAAACTGTATTATGTTAATGTTGGATTCTCTCTGATTTTGTTGATATTTTATATAATATATTTCATTTTCTGTTCGAATAAAGAATTGATAATATTAAGATTTTTTTAAAAAGTTTTCTGTTAATAACTATAAATACTAAATATTTATAGTTAAAAGTAGATATGTAATTTACATTAAAATAATTTTAGATTTTTGTACATTAAATTCACATTCTAATAAAAATATTTTTCAAACAAAAATTTTCTTTTTAAGGCTGCAAATTTACTTACAGTCAAATCACACAAAATCAGAATTTATGATAAAAATATATAAACAAGTTTTTATTTATAAAATCACAAATATAATTAACAGATTTTTCTGTGATTCTTTTAAATGTTTATGTGAAAAATTACAATATTTATATTTTGTGCAACAATCACGTATTGCATATAGTTCTGCCAAGATATATGCATACATACAAAATATTTTTAATAGCTTGTTTTTTTTTAACTATTTATGAATTTATTCATTTATATGCAGAAAAAGTTTTATGAAAATGCAGTATAATTATTAAAAATTTTTTTAATGCTTAACATTAAAATTTTTTCTTTAGCCAGTAAATCATTATAATTATTAGAGCTAGGATATCTGGTACTAAAAATGTAATTTTTTGTAACTACAATTTATATGATTTTTATAACTACTTACTTATAGCTTTTAATGCCTAGACATCCATGCGTGAAGTATTGTTATTTCTTTGTTGTTCCATTATCTGTTATTTTTTATTATAAAATCAGAATTTTAGTAAGTTATTTAATATACATATGTAATAAACAATAAATATGTTTAGAAAGGACTTGTGAATCCTGTCACATGCAAGTTTGACAGGATTCAAAGTTTCATGGAGAAAGGATCTCAGAATATCAATTTACAAAACAATTTTAAAATTAAATAGAACTCATTATATAACTGAAAAATTTGTCAAGATTTTCAATTAAATGTACATTATAATGCCAATGATCTGCCAGATTGTATTGGGCTTTGTTACGGCTACATTTAATAATTAGATGTAGAGTAATTTTGCCAAGAGGTAGGTAATTAAGTTGCCATTTCATATTAAATTTAACAAGAGATTAAGTTACCATCTCATAATAACTTTACATAGTTGATTCTTTAGGACTCTTAAACAATGCTGTTTAGAAACTGACTCATTTCCAAAGTGTCTACTTCTATGTTATAAAAGGAAATAATTTACCTTGGCAGAAAAGGACCTTTATCATTTGCATTTGAAAGTATCATTCTTGTGTTCTATGGTATTCCATATTATTTCGCATTATCATATTTTTCTCTTTCTTTTTAACTTGTTTAATCATTTCAACTTTAAGTTAAAGATAAAATTGTGTTTATTCTGCACTTACAGCTCAACAACTCTGTTACAATATCTATATTTAGAAAAACATAAATGTCACTAAAATTGTGAAATGTGACAATTTTTCCATGTCTTAGAAATTCAGAGAAATATGATTTTTAGAAATCTTTAGAATGTTCACATTCTGTAAATCAATTTAGTATGCTCTACTTTCTTCTTACCAAGTGCCATGTTTGAAATATGAAATATATTCATTTGAATTTGCCATATTTTTTAACACTTTGAAATATGAATTCAAGGGAATAGCACAAAGTTTGAATTAATCAGAGTTGATTATATTCAAAAATTTTTTTGTATAAAATTTCTGATCCTGATTATCACTTTGTATTACCTTTATGACTGCAAAATTTATGGTGTTATAAATATTCTCTTGTTTATTTTATGATAAGCTGAGCTTTCAAAACTAAGTTTTACACAAGAGCATAATAGTACAGTAACGTATTACTGTACTATTATGATTGTGTTAAATAGCAGTACAATCGACCCCCCCTTATAACACTGTTGATAATTCTGTTTTATATGAATTCCATGTTGTATGAGTCACTTAGATTTTACAAATACGTGAGCCGTTCACAGCCCGGCACACATATTTGTAAAATCTAAGTGACTCATACAACAAGGAATTCATACAAAATGGAATTATCAACAGTGTTATAAGGGGATCGACTGTATCTCATCTTACCCTCGTATATCTCATAATCAATACCATTAATATGTTCATTTGATTTTTTTTTATGTTTTCTCAACTATAACAGTTTCTGTTCAATCACTTTACATTTCTCTTATCAATAATCTTATATTACATTAGCAAAGCGTCTTGTGCACGGAAACTTTTTTAATACATTGTCTTAACAGTTAAATAAAGTCAACTGTTCAATAATTGTCTTAATTGAACTACTTGTTAATTTTATCATCACAAAAGTTAGTTTTGATAAATGCACTTTTTTAAAGGAATATATTTTTTTAATATGTAATTTTATTTTCCTTTTTTAGCATCAAAATGTAATGCATTGTTTTCTTCTCTGGAACAAAATGAGATAACACGAATGATCTGGAAACAAGTTAAGCCATTTGTAAGAGGAAAAATTTTATTTGCTCCTAATAATCCAGCTACCGAAAGGATTATGAAACGAGTATGTTACATACATTGAAAATTTATTTAACTAGTCTAGTTTTGATTAATATGTATTTTTATATTATTCTAGGTTAACCATTCTTTTATTCCTATCGAATCTTTTCGTAATCTAAGCATTTTATGGCTAGAAAATTATCAATTTGTATTGGCAAAATTTATGAAAGATAACACTCCAATTTTTAAGATTTTGAAGGTATTGTTTTATTTTTGTTCAGAATTTAACCAAATAAAATATGTAAGGATTTTTTATTTAAAAAAAATTTTATTCTTAAGAGTGCTACATTCCAAGAAAATTTTTTATTAAAAATATTGCAAAAATTATCATCATCATCAGAAAGTTGGACAAGCATTCGTATGCTTTCTTCAGTAGAAAATTTGTATTGGTTTCTTGATACTATTTTAGAGAGGTGGGAAGAATGGCTGGAACAGTTTAATAAAGTCATTGAAGAAGTTAGAGATTATTTGGAGGTATTTGGAATATTTTACAAAATTTTTTTTATTTTAATAAGACAATTGAATTTTTATTTTTTCTTAGTGCTTTGATTTAGATCGATTTGAAGGATATGATACAGAAGATGACATTGTTACTAAAGGTCTTGAATTGATAAGTGAAAATAAATTGTGGGCAGGAATTTTTTTTATGAATATGGAAAGAAAAAAGGATGATACTTTGCCAGCTTATATTCGATACAAAATCAGAATGGATGCAAATAAAGTTGATAGTACAAAAAAAGTTGAAGATAGGTAAGTGATTATTAAAGTTTAATTATAAGCTGTTTTTCTCAAAATTAATTAACGGCAAACTTACAGACTTCCTCGTCCAGGGCCTAGACGTAGACCAGCTATTGATTTAAAATATCTAACTTATGGATTTGCATTTTTGCAAGATATCATAGAACATTCAATTATTCAAGAGCATACAGGTAGTAATAGAAGTACAGGTGTTTATTTGCAACAGTTTCCTTATCCATGTCACATATATGATCAGTGAGTATCTAATATAATTTATATATAAAATGTGATATTTATAATTAAATAATAAATATAATAAAAAATTTTTTAAATAGGTTTATTATGGCATTATCTCGATCATTTCCAATGTTTATGGTGCTTTCGTGGGTATATACTTGTTCAATGATCATTAAGAGTATTGTTTATGAAAAGGAACAACGATTAAAGGAAGTGATGAAAGCAATGGGTTTGAGTAATGGTGTTTTATGGTTAGCATGGTTTATTAAATCATTTATTTTGATGGCAATGAGCTGTGCCCTTTTGACTATCATATTAGTAGTAAGTATATGTATTAATTTATTATTACTTAAAATTAATTTTTTCAAATAATTTTGCTATCTGTTTCAATTAAGTAGTAAGATAATTTGTAAACTAATTTTAGATAAGTAAATTTAGTTTAAAAGGTTTTTTGGTTTAAAAATGTATTTTTTAGTAATACAATTATTTTGATTTCAGAGTGTAACAAAAGAAATAACTTATTTTTATATTTTTTAAAGAACTAATTCAAAATTTTAAAATATTTTTTATATACATTAGAAATTTATCTGAAATGGTTAAAAAAAAATAATTAAGATGTGTAGCATTGTACAGTGTGTGTATAATTAAAGTATACCCCTTTATACCACTCTGGAGAGACACAATGTTAGAGATATCTTAGTAAAATTTTGCAGTCATGTTTACACAGGAAAACTATGGATAGAATTTCAAAAAAATAGTTAGTTTTTGCTGCTAGGGCCTATAATGTCACAGCAACATTAAAGAAACTGTTTAATATGTTTTCTGAAGATATAATGTAAACTTTTGTCATCCCCAAACTACAACAGAGAGAATGTTTGAGTAGATCCTATTTATGAAGACTGTATTGTGCAAGACCTCACAATACAGTCATTGTGAGAGACATATTGCCTAACGTGTTTGTCAATGATTTCAAATAGCCCAGAAATCACATCTTGTGATTTTTGGGCTATTTGAAAAGTAGTTTTAGATGGAGTTGCATTTAGTAGAACTAAAAGGGCGCGTTGAAAGAGAAGTCAGTCTCATTAGTTCTTATCTGTTGCATTCAGCTGTTGCTAATGTGCTAATTCAATTGCAATATAGGACTTTGAGCAGCAGAAAGCATATTGAACAGTTTTTTAAATGCTGCTGTGACAGTGCTGCCATTGTAGATCCCTAGAGGTATATCTTGGTGATTTGAAAGTACACTTTTTATTGTAACCAAGAGGTGCCATATTTTAAACTGTAGGTAACAAAAACACACGCATTTTTCTTTTTACTTTGAAGTATGAATGTGTAAGGTAAGAGAATAATAGAGAGTGTTTTTCTCTTTTTCTTCCTCACAAAGCATGAACCAACCTTAATTATGTATTAATTTTCTTTTGTATATTTTTATTTATAAGAATTTTTACATTATAATTTTAATTCAAGATATCACATAATTTCGTTTATATGATTTTTTAGATGTACTTTTTATTTTTATATAAGAAGATTATTGCATTAGTATCAATCAGAATTCCTTATGATATACTATAAAATATGTTTAAATTAAATTTTTTATTAGTTTTATTATTTTTTTTTTATGAGTAATAAAGTTATCTATTGAAAACAAATGATTGTTTTATTTAACTAATGCATTATGTTTACAGTTATTTAATATAAATTACTTGCATAATAATGATAAGTTATTATAAACAGAATATATTAAACTTGATAAAGAATATCTTTATAATCACTTTATAATTATAATAGTTATAATTTTATAAATGAAATTTACTAAATTAAGTTTTATTTTAAAATCATATATTTAAATATATTTTCAATTTATGATCAAAAATAGAAAGTCAGTTTATAATAATAATTAATTTTTTATAGTATGGGAACGTATTGGAAAATTCAGATCCTGCCGTCGTCTATCTATTTCTTCTTTGTTACACCGTTGCTACTATTATGAAAGGATTTTTAATTAGTACATTCTTTTCAAGAGCCAATATTGCTGCTGCTGCTGGAGGCCTTATATTTTTCATTCTTTATCTACCTTATCCATTTTTAGTATTATGGGAAGAAAGACTTAGTGTTCATCAGAAAGCAGGAAGTGTAAGCCTGAATGCTATTTATTATTTGTGAAAATTAATCAGCAGAATTTATATTTTATATATATTTTTTTATCTTTAGAGTTTATTATCAAATGTAGCATTTGGTTTTGGATGCAGTTACTTTGCTCATTATGAAGAAGATGGTGTTGGAATCAATTGGTCCAATTTCGCAACTAGTACAATGTCTGGTGATAAATTTAGTTTAGCTCATTGTATGGGAATGTTAATATTAGATAGTATAATATATGGTATTCTCACATGGTATATAGAAGCAGTCTTCCCAGGTAAAGTTTTTCTACATTTGTTTTAATAAAATATGAAATTTTATATACTTTTTTGTATTTTCTTCATTTTAGGCCAATATGGTGTGCCAAAACCATGGTACTTTTTTATTACTAAATCTTATTGGTGTGGAACAATAAGAGCATGTGATAACCCAGATTGTGATGAAGAGAGACCATATATATCTTGTATGTATAATTATTATTTTTTTAATTTATTGTGAAATGAAAGTTTCCTAATGTATTTATATTGAAAAATGCTAAATACTCTGAATGTTACTGATGATTTTATAATTTTTTTTCTTTAATTATNAATATGTTTTAATAACTTTTACTTAGTTTTGTATTAGAGCTAGATATCTAATAGCTACACAGAACAGTAGAAAGGTTTTCTTCAGAGTTTATCTAGTTATCTCTAGAACTCATTTGGCTCATAAACCTGGGTTGAGGATAGTTGGAACATGATGCTATTCACAATACTATCTTATTTTAAATCAACATATTCTTATACTTATATCTGCTGTTTTCAAGTGTCCTGTTAATATAATTATTATTTTTTTAATTTATTGTGAAATGAAAGTTTCCTAATGTATTTATATTGAAAAATGCTAAATACTCTGAATGTTACTGATGATTTTATAATTTTTTTTCTTTAATTATTTTAACACAATGTCAAATTTATCAGGTGGATCAAATTATGAAGCTGAACCAACTGATTTACCTCTGGGAGTATCCATTCGCAACCTCACTAAAATATATGACAATCAAAAAGTTGCAGTGGATGATCTCAGTCTCAATTTTTATGAAAATCAAATTACTTCATTTTTGGGTCACAATGGAGCAGGAAAAACTACTACGATGTAAATTTTATGATAATTATTTTCTATTTTATTGTAAGTAAGTACTTTATTAGTAGAATTTGACTTAATTATATTTTACAGATCAATTTTGACTGGAATGTTCCCACCTACTAAAGGAACTGCAAAAATTTATGGGGCTGATATTAGAACAGACATTGATATTGTAAGAAGAAGTTTAGGGACATGTCCTCAACATAATGTATTATTTGATCAGTAGGTTTATAACAAGGCTTTTTGTGATTAATATTTATAAACAAGACATTTTCTTATTAGCATTGAAATAAATTTTATATTGCAGATTAACAACTCAGGAACATTTGTGGTTTTATGCTCGTTTAAAAGGTGCATCAGAAAAAGATGTCATGGAAGAAACTGAACAAATGATCAATGATACTAGATTAATGAGCAAGAAAAATGAACTTTCAAAAAATCTTTCTGGTATTTAATGTCATTAGCTTATTAAAGTGATATAATAAATATAGTTTAAGTTTGAATACATATATTAAAATTTAAAATACTGTATATTTCCCCAGATAAGACTATAGTTGAATCATAAAAAAAGGCTCCCAAAATCCAGGGTCGTCTTATAGGACAAATACAAAAAAAAAATTTGATTGAAATTTATATAAATCAAAATCATTATAAAAAAAAACAGAAAAATCATAATTATTTACTAGTAGAAGTAGGGTACATCCACAAAATAGAATAGCCCATACAACGTTTTTGTGAATAGTCAAGGTCATTACCCAAATGCCTGAATAAGTGTTTGCAACAATCGCAAGGCAGTGCTGTCAGATGCAAACAAAATAAAATCTAAGTTATTTCAAAAATTACAAANCATTATAAAAAAAAACAGAAAAATCATAATTATTTACTAGTAGAAGTAGGGTACATCCACAAAATAGAATAGCCCATGCAACATTTTTGTGAATATCATGGTCATTATCCGAATGCCCGAATCAGTGCGAATGTTTGCAACAATAGCAAGGTGTGCTGCCAGATGCAAGAAAATAAAATTTGTTCATTCGAAAAATTACAAATAGGATATAATTTTGTATACGCTATACAGTATTATTATCTAGATGATGATAAGCCCTCTCTTCCCAAAGAAAGGGCTTATTAATCATAACTAAAGCGTATTTCACTACATCTACTGTAAGTCTTCAAGTTATCGCAAGAAAACCTCTTATTGATTTAATAATCATACAAACTCAAAAGATACAACTGCTGAGACAGGGGAAGAATGTTCAGACAAGCTATGTTATGCTTGATAACAAGAAGATTGAAAGGCCTTTTATAAAACACTTTTTTTTAACATGCAGATATAACTTGACTTTTACCAACATAGATTCTCCAGATATGGATATATATACTGATGGGTCCAAGATTAATAATGCAGTGGGCTGTAGCTTTGTCACCTATTCGAATTCTGTTGAAATCTATTATCAGATATCTTGTTTAGAAATCTGCAGTGTATTTCAAGCAGAACTTACTGTTATAAGAATGGCAATCATATGGATTAACTGCAATTATAATTGCCGTTCTGTTCATATACACACCGATTCTATGTCGGCATATAATGCTGTTAAAAATATCGGGTCGCATCCTATTGTAGCTGAGATCAATTATCTCATTAGTGTCTCTGATTGCACATTTGCAATCACTTGGATTCGCGCTCATCAAGGAGAGTCAGGGAATGGAAGAGCAGACCCTTGCAAAACTAGCTGCCGAGGATAATTTAGCCCTGATAATATATATGATAGATATAGCAAGCAGACTGTTTGGCAGATGCTATGGAAAGACACCATAAACGACTGGCAAAATAGATGGAGTTCTTATCATAATGGCCACACTTTTCAGTTCATTCCTAATATAAATTATTTTTATTATCTACAATGGTTCTCTGCAAACTTTTACACTACACAACTGCTCATTAACCATGGAAAGTTTGCAAGCTACTGTGCAAATTTACGAATAGGGAATCTCTCCTGTGCCCGGTGTGTCAAGTAGAAGATGGTGCCCTACATTACATTTACAACTGTGTAGCCCTGGAACAAGAAAGACTGGAACTTATTCTCCTGCTCCAGGAAAGAAATATTATCTGGCCTTGTGTTCCTTCTGACATTTTAAAGAGCAAAGATGTCTATCAAGCATTCAATAGACTAGTGAAGAGGTTCTCTTGTTTTCACGTATCACCATATACAATTGAGGACTTGCTCTTTGGTGTTATGTCACCCAAAATTCTTACTTTGTTTTCATACTTTCTTTATATATTTTTGTAATTTCATCTTTAATTTCATTTTTATATAAAAATACTTATTCTAATTTGTCTTAAAATGTATAAATATAATCCTTATATATTCACTTGTCTGTTCACTAGTTTGTTGGCATATTACTTTGTTATATTATGAATTTTATTACAAATGCATTTTGAGATGTATGAATATTATTTGCAATTATGTATAATTATCTATATACAGAATAATCATCAACATTCCACTTTAAACATAACATTTTGTTTCTGTTTTATTCATGAAAATACTTATTTTAATGTAAATATTATTATTTGATGGAATTCCTCTGTAACGTATTAATATTTTACTGTAATTCTGTTATTTTTAAATATGTACTTTGAATTTTATCCATGTAAACATTTCCCTAGTAATGCTTTCTGCGGGACCAGGATGTATATGTTGTTTGTGCAATAAAAAATAATGAATAATGAATATCTAGATGATAATTGCTGATCTAAACTAAATTCATAGGCTGTTGATAGTTTGGGGGTCGTCTTATAGGACAGATATATGCTAAAATTATAAAACTTTGACGAAAATTTATACTTCATCTTATCTGCACAAATATACAGTATATATTGTTGTTATTATTACTTAGTTTATTTTATATTATATTCTTTAATTTACTTATTAGGTGGGATGCAGAGAAAATTATCAATTGCAATTGCCTTTGTTGGTGGATCAAAAACAGTTATTTTAGATGAACCTACTGCTGGTGTAGATCCTTATGCACGAAGATCAATTTGGGAGTTACTTCTAAAATACAAGAAAGGTTAGTTTAATAATAATTTTCTTTTTAGATGATAGAATAAATTAATTTTTTATAAAGTAATACATTATAAATCTCAATTTAGGCCGTACTGTAATTCTCACTACTCACCATATGGATGAAGCTGATTTGCTTGGTGATCGTATAGCTGTGATTGCAAATGGAAAGTTGCTTTGCTGTGGTTCATCACTCTTTCTCAAAACATGTTTTGGAAATGGATATTATTTAACTTTAGTAAAGGCTAATGATTACATTGTGGGTGATGGTGATTTTAAAAACAACAGATCAATATCTACAGATAACGGAAGTAAAATGTCTAATGTGAGTGTTTTCACAAGATATTTGCAATTGAAAATTTATAATTATAAAGATGGAAATACTGTATCTATTCAATTTTTTCAGGAAAATGCTGATGAAGGAGTCGCTGACATGTCAACTATTGATTCAAGATCTGATTATTCTGATAGTACTGCTGTTGCTGATGCTGCATCCTCAACTTTTATACCATGGGGTTGGCATTAAGAAGATTTTAGAATTTAAAATCTTTAATTAATAGTTGTGTTATTAAAATATATTTTTATGCTTTTATTAATATTTAGGTGGCTTATGCATTGTTTCCAAAGTAACAGCATTCATTCAGTCTTTTGTGCCAGATGCTCACTTGGTAGAAGATGTCGGCACAGAATTATCATACCTTCTTCCTTTGTCAGCTCAAAGAGAAGGAGTTTTAGAAAGACTCTTTGAGGCTCTAGATTCAAAATTGAAAGATTTACATATTGCAAGTTATGGAATCTCAGAAACAACATTAGAAGAAGTAACATTTTTATTCATAAAATGATTTTAGTTCAGAATTTTACAAAATAGTAAATATTAAATAATTTAATTATAGATATTTTTAAAAGTAACAAGTGATGCAAATGAGAAAACAAAAGAAGAAGAATGTTCAGAAAGTATTACTGGAAATCATATAGGTGATTTTTATTTATAATTCAAAATACAAAATTTTTAGTTTTATTGCTAAGATATTGAAAACTAAATTATAAAGTATTTTAAAAATATACTCTGAAAAATTCTCATTTTATTTTTTAAGAGTTAAAACACAATAAAACTAGAAGAGGAACTTAATGATAACAGCAAAACACCTTCAATTACTCCAGCATAGTATTTTAATTTACCAAAAAGGTTTTCAATTCAATTTATGGATCTTCCTTGGTTGCTGAATTGAACATAAAAAGATTAAAAATGAATAAGAATTAGAACAAATTTAAAAATAACAATACAAATAAAAAATTCAATTACCATAAATATAAAAATAAATAATTAATAAAAATAAAAGAAAATAAATAATTAACAATATCAAATGAAATAAATCATGAACTTAAAATATTTTAATAAATTTTCTTATAAATTCAATTATATTTGATAATTGTTATGTTGATTTTGTTTCAGTTAGAAACAAAACCAGTTTTATCTTGAATATTTAAGTCTATTATTTAAAGAATATATTTGAATTCTATAAATAATATGATTAATAATAATTATAATATTTAATAATTTATATTGATGTTACAGTCCAATAGAAAGATCTGAAAAAACTAAAACCTTTTTTTATTTAGATTCTAATAATCAATATAACAATATAAAAGGGATCAACCTAACCATTGAAGAATTCAACTGTTGCCAATCACTTAGGAACTTCAGCATATTTAAATCTCACCAAGAGAATAAAACTAAAAGTATTAGTAATGCAGATGACTCAGGTATAGATATATTGTTGATGATCTTAAATAGATGCTTTAATTTATTAATTCTTTGAAAGAATAATTTAAAAGATTTTTAATCTTTCTAATAGTACAAATTTCATGCACTGCTTTCATGCTTTCAACTTAAATCAAATCTTTAGAAGCACGAGCAGTGTTTTATTATTTTTGTTTTGTTATTGCTAATTTTAGGATGAAGCTTTTGTCTTGAATTAAACTGCAACACACAAATGATTAATAGTTGGAATTTAATTAAATAATGTATTTAGATAAATTACTAATTAGTTATTCACAGTAATATAGAATATAGCATTTTTGATTAAGAAATACTTTTAAAATTGTTATTTATTGAGTCTTGTAGAGATTTTAATTGTTGCTGATAAAAATGCCATTTAGCATTATCATCCGAATGTTTTCTTTCACCACAGCTGTACGCCAGAGGCTCACAGATGGAGTCAGTGAGTTGACTTTGTGATTTGCATGCTTGGGAACATGGTGGATGTTTTTATATTTATTTTTATTTGTTCACTTAGAACTGCATGATAATTTGCATGGCTTAGACACTTAAGAGGGCTTAACTGGGTGGGTGACATCTTTGAAAAATAATTAAACTTTTATATCATTATACAAATATTTTAAATATATCATTATTAACTCCTTAACTATGCAAAGATTCAAAATTCTTTAATGTTACAAAATTTACCATTTAAAACATTATGGAAATAACATAATTATAACAGTAGTGATATTGTTTCTTGAAAGAATATTTGTATATCTGGTCTGGTATTTTTATTATTTTATAGTTAATCTAATATATGTAATCTATTAATATCTGATTCATTATATTGTTTATAATAAATACTTCATTGTTATTAAAATTTACAAGCGTTTTTGTACTTAAAACATTATAAAGTTAGTTCCCCAAGAAAGTTTATAATGAAATATAACAATTTAAAGAGATAGTTTAGTTTACCTTGTACAGTTATTTTTGCATGAAACAAAAACTATTTGTTTTGCTTTCATTATTAATTTGAATTTTTAGATTAAAAATTGTTAGATAAACATGTTTAATTACAATAAAATGTTACTATTAATTAACTCCATATTTATTAAGATGAATTAATTTCAATTCATCTTAATAAATATGGTATAGATATATTGTTGATGATCTTATATATAATTCATCTTATATATTTGGGATATATGTAACTTGAAATATATTTTTTACAACAAATTATGTACAGTTTATTAATTGCAACAAATATACATAAACAGCATTCTTTAAATTATTATTTTATGATTATTTTCAGTAAGTATTCTTTATAACGAAGAAAAAAATTAGAAATTCTTTGAACATAATTACGATTCATTTGAATAATTTCTTAAATATATTTGTATTCATTTAACATAAATATAAAATTTACAAGATGTATGTAATATTTTATTTCCTGATACTTCTATATTGTAAATAATCTAAAAGTAAAAAGTGTACGTATAACATATGTTTATTTAAAGATTCAAGTATCATATTATATTTTGCTTATATAAATCAAATGATGTATAACAGGAGTAAAAATTACTTTGTAAAATAATGTAGGTTTAATAAATATAATTGTAATAGGAAAAAATACATTAATTTTTGTGTAAATGAAAGTTATTTTTAGACACAGCTAATATACTAGTTATTGTTTTGTTTGAGTATAATTTAATAGTTAAGGAGTTAATATTATGAAAGAAAATTTTAAAGTATTTTGCATGATTTTAATTGTAGATTTATTTTTAATTATTAGTTGTTATTTAAAATAATATAAATAATTGTATCATCTAGACAATGATCAAAATCAAGATCCTGTTCTTCCTCCACCTACAATTGCTGCAAGCAAAAAATTTACGGGTACTTCATTGATTCGAAGGCAGCTTGCTGCACTACATATCAGACGTTTTCATCACTCAAGGAGAAACTACAAAGGTTTATGTTGTGAAGTATGTAAAAAAAAGTTTAATATTTTAAAAGATAATGCAAAACGTAACTTATGTTTTATTTTTAAAAATGTTTTTAGATTGTTTTGCCTGCTTTATTTGTTTGTTTGGCTCTCCTTTTGACATTAGCAATTCCTCCAATGATGGATGAACCACCATTAGAACTCAATCCTTGGCTGTATGATCCACCAAATTATGTATTTTTCAGGTTTGTTTGTTTGTTTGTTTTTTTTTTAATTATTAACTGAAAAATTAAGTTCTCTCACTCTGCTTTATGATATGAAAATATTATATATTAATATTCCTGTTGATGTTGTATTTAATAAGCCATAATATTTTGTATTCAATATTATATCAATTTTTAAGAATATTATTATTCAAATAAATAGAGTTTTATATAAAATACAGCATCTTCCAAAAAGAATATTACCATTTTAAATTATTGTAATTATGTTAATTATTATTTGAGAACATTGTAATGTACAAAACTTTAGAAAACTGTACGAGTTTATTTGCCCATTACAGTTTCTCAATGTGCATATCTTATGTCACACTGCACGTATCCAACCAATACTCAAATTCTTCCTATGCTCATTACAGAATATCCATTATCACTCCTTTGACAGCAGTCACAATTCTACAGCTGCAGATTGCTCATGCTGCATTCTTATGAGTGATTTTGACTTTGTGAAATTCAGAACATAAAACTCTTCTATTGTAGCATCACCATTTTCGTTTATGGCACTTCCTAGAGGTAGTAGACAATTAAGTGTTTGAATACAGATGGGAGATGAAACTCTGATGGTTATAAAAATTAACATAATTATAGTCATTTAAAATAGTAGCATTCATTTGACAGATAGTGTATTTTTGTTTGTTTGTGTATGTGTATAATATAGAAGTAAATTTAAATTTTCCTAAAAATTAATATTTTATTTTTATAGATTAATTTGAAAACACAGTAAATTATAGTTTATACTTATAAATCAATTATATATTTTCATTTTTCAGCACTGTTATTTTTCTTACATATTAAAGATGCATAAATGTACTTTTGTAGCAGAAATAACATCTAATTTTAATCAGTTTTGTTTTTTTGTTTAAAATATTAGAATTATCAGTATTAAATTTAGTTAAATTATGGTTCTGTAAAATTAAAATTAAAAATATTTTCACAATAGCAATGAAGATTCAAGGAATCCTATCACACGAAAATATGTAGACACTCTTCTTTCACCACCTGGCTTAGGAGATCGCTGTGTAGAAGCAAAATCACATAAGTAACTATTACAGAAATAATAAATATTGTATCTAAGATTTTGCAGGTATTTTAATAACTGATTTTATTTAATTTTTTCAGACGACTGCCATGTGAGCCTCTTCCATTTAATAGATCAGAATTATTACCAACATATAATTTTAGTTTAGCTAATAGAGTAATTCAATGTAAATGTGAAATTGGAACTATGCAATGTCCTGTTGGACTTCCTCCTGATCCTCCGCAAGTTCAGACAACTGCTACAGATATTTTACTAAATGCAACAGGACGTAACATTTCTGATTGGATAATGAAAACTTGGAGAAAATATCATAAGAAAAGGTATAATTTGAAATAAATAATTATTTTTGAATGAATTATGATAAATGTAAGTGTGAGAATACAGGCGAGGGGACAGAGCCCTCTAATTGTCAGATTGGCGAGATCCACTCACAGCGTCACTGGATGGCTTTCTATCAAGTGGCGAGGGGATTGAGAAAGTCAACGGGTGTCCATGCGAGCAATGATTGTCAGGTTCACAGGTTAAACAATAAAGAAGGAGTTTATTATAGAACTAAAGCTAATTATACAGGATTATACATAAAGAAGTTACTGATTAATGCTTAGATGCAGATAACACATATAAATCTATCTGTAAAGCCAATCAAACTAGTCACTATGTCGCGTGCCTAAAGTCTCTAGCCGCTAGAGTGCGAGAGTTTACAAAGATTGCTGCATTCAGATATACCTTATATGCTGTTGGATAACGGTATGCAATGATCATTCTGGACTGTGGAAGCTGGAACAGTCTTATGTCTTCTACCTGCTTCTCCTCGGACAGGACTGGGATGGGAGACACTAGTACTCAGACCTTCCTGGGACGATCGTTTTTATACGATCGTCATTGGCACTGAGCCAACTGGTCATTCAACGTTACGATGACTAATTAGCAGATATGCAATGACTTGCCTTTCTTCCTTCCTATCTTGTTGATGTGTAAGAGTCAACATCCGATCTATTTCCATGGGAACTTTTGAAAAATTTTTTTTTCATCCTCTAATGTTTACACTTCCTTCAAAAAAGGTCATTAACCCCTTAAACTCAAAAATTTATGCCCTTAAAACCTCCAGGCTCGCATAAGGATTTATAAAAAATGTAAGCTGTACAATTCATCATACACAAAAATATAAAAGGTAATGTTATGTGATTTTAAGTGAATCTGAGGATGATTTGAATTATTAAAAATGTTAATGTACATTCTTAATTTTACTTTCATAAAACTATTCAAAAAATTATCAGAAATCACTGAATGACGTAAAAATCTATAAAGTGATATATGATAGTTGATACACAGCATTTCTAACTTTACACTGAACTTTTGACTTTTAATTTCATTTCATTTTAATTAAAGAAAAAATAAGTTATATAACACGTTTAATTTAATTTTGTCAACTATTTTCTATTTAATAGAAATATTGAACTGAAAAGAGCATTATGTCAGGAAAAAATAATTATAACACTGCTTATATATTATTTTCAGAGAGACTTAGTTTGAATGATTTTCATCTTTAAATAATTGAATAATGCAATAATTTGATTTGGAAATATGATTTGTTTTTTTTTATATTAATATTATGATGTGAATTAATTGTTTTATATTCACAATCATTGGAAGTGGTAAGATTTATAACCAGAACAGTATTATGAATTGGCAGTTACAAAAAAACAAGTAAAACAGCAAAGCCATATTTGGGACTCACTACTAAGCAGAATCACTTTGGTGATCAAGCAGGTCTCGTTCTCATTGTCATTCTCCAATCTTCATTATTGCTGGTTTTGAGCGCGATCATTCAGACTTCACCGGCCATGTCCATGAGGTTGTCCACGATGCATTTTCAGTGAAATTAACCTATCTATGTTGAAATTTCTTTCTGTTGCGTGTCGGCCTGGGTTGAATTTTTGTCAATGCCTAACAAAAATTTCTCATTTTTGAAAAAAATAATCGTGGCTATTGTATTGTCTGAAATTATTTTTTTATTTTGCGCAAACAATATACAGTTTAACCCGATTATAATGTCATTGGATGTAACGACAACCCTAGTACAGGCATACCTCGTCGTTTCGAGTTACATCGTTTCCAATTATACATCATTTGTCAAAAAAGTATATGGAAAAATAAAAATCAAGTTTAAGTCATTTTATTCGACTTTACGTCTGTCCGCCATAAATATTGAAGTCATAATATCACTAGAAAAACGTTTAAAGTACATAAAATCATATTAAAATATATACAAGTATGTACTGTATTTACAGTACATGAATTCGTAAATTTAGATTACTTTTTTTCTGTACTATATTAAAAACTAAAATTTATTTGTTTGTAAGCTTAAAATAGATTTTTATTAACCATATATTATTAAAAATGCATTAATAAATAAAATACAGAACCGGGAATGGTAATTTACGGTTTAGCCTAGTGGCAAGTAGATTCAGAGACAAGTAAATTCAACTTACGTCGTTCTCCTGGAACCAATTACCGACGTAAGGCGAGGTATACCTGTATAACGTCTTTAGCGGCATGGATAAAATCTGTACGTGGCATGTCCTACCTTGTCCACATCTTTTATTCTGCCGGTAAAAATTGAGAAATGACCCAGGCAAATAAATAATTTACTTAATTTGGATCAGCTATGCAATATTTACAATAATGTTGAGATATAATACAAATCCAAGATCAGCACGGCTGTCGAATCAAAAGGTTAACTAAATGAATACTGTATTTTATCAAAAAAACTGATTACAGAAACGACACACACAAAAATTTTACCAGAAAATAATGGCTTCAAGCAGAAATAACAATTAAAGAGGTAATTATTCCAACTACTCAGTACTACTGTATTGTTATTTTAGTTGTTTGCTCATGTTATTTTTGATAACTTTTTATTACAGATGAATGAATTTTTATTGTAATTTAATATAATTTACATTTTATTATACTGACATTTCACTATACTACAATAGAGCGTCATTTATCTGAATCAATTGGGAACAGGGGTTGTTCAGATAACTTATTTTTCAGATAACCGTTTATGTACGAAAAAATATATTAACCTATCCTATGTTGAAATTTTTCTTTGTTGCGTGTCGCTTCCCATTGAATTTTCGTCAATGTTGAGCCTAACGTAAACTTTTTAAAATAATAATCGTGGCTATTGTATCATTAAAAATTATTTCTTTATTTTTTGCAAACAAAATATATATATTGAAAAATATAAACACAAAAAAAATTATATTTTAGAAGTTGATCTAGTATCAAAAACATTCGATTCTGCACGACACACAGTCTACAGAAAAACACCACACAAAAGTGCCAGTGCTGCCAGCTAAAACACACATACCAACAATAAAAAAATTTGAGTAGCCCAATATTGCAACGCCACAGCATTAGTGAAAATTTAAATTTGCCGAATGGAATGCTTTCGGTTAACCGACGTTTCGGATAACCAGCTTTCGGATAAATGACGCTCTACTGTACTTTTAGAAATTNACTTTTTATCTTTAGGTCTTTTTCTCCTTTCCCCGAATTTGAGTCTATACTCCTTTGAGAGCCAACTCCAGTTTTATTTAGTACACCTTCCTCATTCATACATTTCTAAGTATTTGAAAATATTTCTTTTCCACTCAAAAATAAAATATGTATAAAGGTTTATGGCTTTGTGAAACTTCTTTTTTGAGTTTATGCCATTGAAATAAATAAATAAATAATTTTAAAAATTGTCGGTTTTGTGTACACGTTTATTGGGCTGCATTCGAACTTTCCTTGGGCCACATGTGGCCCAAGGAAAGTTCGAATGCAGCCCAATAAACGTGTACACAAAACCGACAATTTTTAAAATTATTTATTTATTTATTTCAATGGCATAAACTCAAAAAAGAAGTTTCACAAAGCCATAAACCTTTATACATATTTTATTTTTGAGTGGAAAAGAAATATTTTCAAATACTTAGAAATGTATGAATGAGGAAGGTGTACTAAATAAAACTGGAGTTGGCTCTCAAAGGAGTATAGACTCAAATTCGGGGAAAGGAGAAAAAGACCTAAAGATAAAAAGTAATGAGAAAGGTTAAACAGACCTCCTGTTATGCAATATGGACGCTTAATTTTCCAACCATCCTCACTTCTTTATCTTTTGTCCTCTTTCTCCTTTCCCAGCATGTGGGTCTATAATCCTTTGAGTCTCAACTCCAGCTTTATTTAGTATTCCTTCCAGCATTGCAAGATTCGGCTACTTTGCGCCAAATTTGGCTATCCTTTTATTAGTTTGATGTAAAAAATATCAGTTGGCACATTGGCTACGTTTTGGGCTACATATTATTTATAAATATATTAGTTAAATAAAAATGCACTTTAAAATGGTGTTTCGTCATTTTTTATTAATTAGAGACCCAAATAAAACAAATATTTGTGTTTTTCAAATAAATTGTTTGTTTGTCTCCTTTATAATAAATGAATTTATCTATTTCTAAGTAAAAATTGAAAGTGTCTGTAAAAGATATTTTTAAAAATATTCTTTTTTGTGATAAACTTTTAATACTTATTACTATAATCTAGACATGTTAATACTTAAATATACAAGTATATTTAAGGATTGGGTCAAAATATACTTGTGGCCCAAAACTCCATGGCTTCTTCCAATGTGGCCCAGAGAAACAAAAAGGTTGGACACCCCTGCTCTACAGCTCTGTTAAAGTCCCAAACGTGTCATATGGATCTATATTTCTATCTATTAAACATTCTATAAAACTTTAAAATAGTTTGTTTATTTACCTTCGGTTGTAAACCTCAATTTTAAATGTATCCGCCATTTTTTCAACAAATTTCCAGTGAGTCAATGCACGACATTCACTGACTTGTGAGTCATAGGATGTTGTAAATGTGCGGCGCAAGGTTAATCAAGGCATATAATAATTATTTATACCATTCCGTGGTATAAATAATAAATTCATATCAATAATAAATTCCTATTACAAATAAAAATAATTTATTGTTAATTTAAAATCATCGTTAGGGTGTCTCTAGTGCCCGTTTTTGGCATACTGTTACATGGACGGATGGATACGCATTCATTGGGTTATATAGATAGATAAAAAGGAGCATAATAAATTTTAGAACAAATTTAATAAATAGCATGACCATGTATGGTAACTTGAAATATATATTAAGCTATATCAGGGTCTTCCAAAATGAAAGTTAAAATAATTTAAAAAATGGTACCAATGTTAATTAAGTTAGTATCTGAGTGAAATTGAATGGACAGTTTTCCAATGTTTTAATGCACAAGTTTTACATTTGCCCATTACAATTTCTCACTGTGTGCATCTTGTCATATACCATACATCCAACTGATAGGAAAAATTTGAGGAAGTTGTTACAACATATCCTTTGTTACTCCTCCCTCAGCAATCACAATTCTACAGTTCCTGCAAGTCACTCATGCTGCACAATGATGAGTGATTCCAACTTTGTAAAATACAGAACACAAAACATTTTCTCTATTGTAAAGTCAGAATGTTGTTTTATGGCACCTCCTGAAGATAGTAGATAACAAGTTATTTGAATGCAGATGAGAGATGAAACTTAAACATTTACTCTATTGATTGGTACAGTACAACATTGCATATTTCTTGGATAATAATTAACCTAATTACAGTAATTAAAATGGTAGCATTCATTTTGGACGATTGTGTATATATTTAATGTAATGACTTTTTCAACAAAAAAAGAAATTTGAATTATATAGTCATAAATTTGTGTTGTTTGAAAATTAATTTACATTTAATTACTTATAAATTTATAATTATAATTTAAGAAAATACATAAATAGCATTTATTTCAAACAGAGTGGAATACTTTCTTAATTAACAATTTATGCATTTATTTTAGATACGGAGGATTTACTTTTGGATTTAAAGATCCCGTATCGAAAGTTGATTTCACGCTAGCCCACAATGCAGTGGATCGACTTACATCTGGTTGGATCCAAGATACTCAGAAAGATACTATTCATAATATTTTGAACATGATTGAAGGAAAAATACATAGCATTGGAATGTCAGATAATGTTAAAGTAAATTAAATAAATATTTAATGGTTAAAATATTCATAGAATTTTGGATATTATATAAGCAATTTAAAATTTATTTCTAGGTTTGGTTTAACAATAGAGGATGGGCAGCTTCAGTAGGATATATGAATGCACTCAACAATATTTTGTTAAGAGCCAATCTTCCTCCAGGTCAAAATCATAAATATTATGGAATATCAGTCATCAATCACCCAATGAATTTTACTCAAGATCAATTACAAGTAGAAGTGCTGTATGTGATTTAGACACTTGTTTTTATTAAACTATTTCTTAATTTTTACAATAATAAATTCGTTTTTCAGGGAAAGAAGTGGTTTGAGTCTACTTCATGCAGTTTGTGTAATATTTGCAATGTCTTTTGTCACTGCTAGTTTTGTAATGTTTCTAATTGAAGACAGGATAACTGGATCGAAACATTTGCAGTTTGTCAGTGGGGTAAAACCATTTATTTATTGGATTGGAGCATATACATGGGATTTGGTATGCAAACAATTTTAGAATTATTCTTGAAATTTGTTGAATGCTGTCATTTTAATCAAGTGATTAACTTTGATGTTTTGTTCTTCACTTTAAAATCAAAATTGAAAAATCATTTTTTTTTTTATTAGTTAGAGTCTTAGTAATCATTAGTCTTTTCTGTCTTAGTTAGAATTGTTTATAAATTATTGTTTAAATTTGGAATTGACATTTCTTTTATAATATGATATTAATAGATTCTGCTTGGAGATAAGGTACCAAGTGTGACTTACTTTCATGCATTGGCATTACATAAATGCTTGAAATTTGCGAATAATTTTCAGATCAGATCAGCATATTTGATTGAGTTACCTTGTTCTTCTAATGAAAGATTCTAAACATTCAACTTTGGGAAACCACTCATCAAAGCCTTATTACATTTTACATAAATGAAAAAGATAGTTGTTGAATGATGACTGTTTTTTTTTAATTTATGATAATTCTGATATAAAAAATTGATCAAAAATTAAACTTAATTACTTGGTCAAAGTAAATTTATTTAAACAATTAGAAAAATGGTTATTTTATGAAGCTGCTTGTACTTAATAACATAATTATTTTTTTTTTAGTGTAATTATCTGGTTCCAGCTGCTTTGATTATCATCATTTTTGTTGTCTTTCGTGAAGAAGCTTATGTTTCAAGAAATAATATCTCTGGATTAGTACTCCTATTGTTTTTATATGGGTAATTTTATTATTTCAAAATCTAAAGTGTGAAAAATTTGCATTCTAATAATAATAGTAATAATAATATTTTTTAAAATACAGCTGGGCAAGCATACCTTTAATCTATCCAGCTTCATATGTATTCAGTGTTCCAAGTTCTGCTTTTGTTGCATTAGCTTGTCTGAATTTATTTATTGGCATTGTTTCAACTTTATCAACTTATGTTTTGGAATTGTTTAATGATGATGTAAGTGTCAAATTCATTAAATTGGTGTTTTAGTAAAAGTTGATTTTGTTATATATATTATTAATCTTATCTATTTGTCAGGAACTACTTACGATAGCTGGAATCCTCCGGAAAGTATTTTTAATATTTCCTCATTATTGCCTTGGACGAGGATTAATGGACATGTTTACTAATCAGTTGACAGTGGAAATGCTAGCCCGATTTGGTAGGTGAAAATTAATAAGTAGAATAAGAGTTAATGTTTAAATGTACTTAGAATACAAATTGTATAAATTATGATTATAATTTTCCTTTAATGTTCAAAATATATGTATATTACAATAGAATCCTGATAATCCAAGGTGAAACAGTGAAATGAATATACTATTCTTATACTGTAATTTATGAAAGAAAGTTTAAAATAACAACATGTATTACAAAATGATTTGAATAAAAGCACATACTAACACCAATCAATTTATTATAAGAACAAATGTTTTCAACTGTTTTTAACAGCCATTTTCAAGTTATAGAATCTTACTTAGAACAAAATTTAAATAAACCAGTACAAATTTAGAGTTCCATTTATCATATGTAGAGGAATGGTAAAGAAAAATTGAAAATCATAAAACAGGGTTAAATAAAATAAACAAATATAAAAATAACTAAAAATATAAATAAGGTTATAAATGTTCAAAAATAGCCTTCCATATATGGAAGGCTATTCCCAATGCAACTATTTCTAGTTTTCTTGTCATAAAAAAAAAAAGCAGTGTCATGACAATTTTATTATTATTAACTATCTTAACTAATACCAGGATAAAGTTAACTACAAACACAAACCTGTTACCAGTGTTAAACTCAAATAAAAACAAATATACAGTTCCTCGCTGTTCACCTGAAGAAGAACCATTTAGGGTTCGAAAACATTTGTGAGGAACTGTATATTTGTTTTTATTTGAGTTTTACACCATTAACAGGTTTGTGTATGTAATTTATTGTTAATAGTTTATATATATAGTAGACAAATACTTTGTTTCATTTTTATTTATTTTATCAAATTACAGTTGTACTAAACATTGTATTAGGTGATGATTAAAATCAACATTTAGTCAAATTGTACATGCGTACAAATTATATAGCCACCACTGAAATGATGAAATGCTATCTATTTAGGCTTATTTGTAAAGAATGGCAGTTTTCAGTTAAGCATTTTTTTCATATTATTCCATCAAAAACATATAACAAAGATTTTGCTGTACTCCTTTTTCGTTATTAAAAAAGTTGATTTAAAGGTTAAGAAAAAACTTATTCCATTCTCTTCACTTTATGTTGAATTATGGGTATTTATGCAACTTCAAAAACTTATGCTTTTTCATACTGTTGATTTTTCTTGATTTCTGAATAATCTCAGCATAAATCAATTAAAATAATAATCGTGGCTATTGTACAGGATTATACATAAAGAAGTTACTGATTAATGCTTAGATGCAGATAACACATATAAATCTATCTGTAAAGCCAATCAAACTAGTCACTATGTCGCGTGCCTAAAGCCTCTAGCCGCTAGAGTGCGAGAGTTTACAAAGATTGCTGCATTCAGATATACCTTATATGCTGTTGGATAACGGTATGCAATGATCATTCTGGACTGTGGAAGCTGGAACAGTCTTATGTCTTCTACCTGCTTCTCCTCGGACAGGACTGGGATGGGAGACACTAGTACTCAGACCTTCCTGGGACGATCGTTTTTATACGATCGTCATTGGCACTGAGCCAACTGGTCATTCAACGTTACGATGACTAATTAGCAGATATGCAATGACTTGCCTTTCTTCCTTCCTATCTTGTTGATGTGTAAGAGTCAACATCCGATCTATTTCCATGGGAACTTTTGAAAAATTTTTTTTTCATCCTCTAATGTTTACACTTCCTTCAAAAAAGGTCATTAACCCCTTAAACTCAAAAATTTATGCCCTTAAAACCTCCAGGCTCGCATAAGGATTTATAAAAAATGTAAGCTGTACAATTCATCATACACAAAAATATAAAAGGTAATGTTATGTGATTTTAAGTGAATCTGAGGATGATTTGAATTATTAAAAATGTTAATGTACATTCTTAATTTTACTTTCATAAAACTATTCAAAAAATTATCAGAAATCACTGAATGACGTAAAAATCTATAAAGTGATATATGATAGTTGATACACAGCATTTCTAACTTTACACTGAACTTTTGACTTTTAATTTCATTTCATTTTAATTAAAGAAAAAATAAGTTATATAACACGTTTAATTTAATTTTGTCAACTATTTTCTATTTAATAGAAATATTGAACTGAAAAGAGCATTATGTCAGGAAAAAATAATTATAACACTGCTTATATATTATTTTCAGAGAGACTTAGTTTGAATGATTTTCATCTTTAAATAATTGAATAATGCAATAATTTGATTTGGAAATATGATTTGTTTTTTTTTATATTAATATTATGATGTGAATTAATTGTTTTATATTCACAATCATTGGAAGTGGTAAGATTTATAACCAGAACAGTATTATGAATTGGCAGTTACAAAAAAACAAGTAAAACAGCAAAGCCATATTTGGGACTCACTACTAAGCAGAATCACTTTGGTGATCAAGCAGGTCTCGTTCTCATTGTCATTCTCCAATCTTCATTATTGCTGGTTTTGAGCGCGATCATTCAGACTTCACCGGCCATGTCCATGAGGTTGTCCACGATGCATTTTCAGTGAAATTAACCTATCTATGTCGNATAAATTAATAATTTTTTTGCTATTTTTGAAATAGTTTAAACATGCCAAATTTCATTCCTGATGCAGAAGAAGATGATGTTGCCATGGAAAGGTCAAGAGTTCTCTCTGGTCACACAAATAATGCTGTTTTAAGAATGGAAAATCTTACTAAAGTAAATAGCATTTATTCTTTTTTTTTCCCTTATTCATGACATTTATTAAATCATAATTTTTCCTATTTTAGATTTACAAAAGTGGACAACATCCAGCAGTTAATCATCTTTGTATGGCAGTTCAGGCTGGGGAATGTTTTGGTTTACTTGGAGTTAATGGTGCGGGTAAGACGACAACTTTCAAGATGTTAACTGGAAACACAAGCATTACTGGTGGTAATGCCTACATTAGTGGTCACAGGTAATTTATACTCTTTTATATGTATTAAAATAAAGAATATTAGTTAAAATTCTAAATGAGTAAATGAATATTTACAGCATAAAAACAGATATAGATAAAGCAAGGCAGAATATTGGTTACTGTCCACAGTTTGATGCACTGGATTCTTTACTTACTGGTTGGGAACATTTAGAATTTTATGCTCGTCTGCGAGGTATACCTGAAAAATATGTGCAGAAAGTAAGTTTTTCTTTGTACCAAAATAAATACATGAAAATCATCAATATTCATTGTAAAATATATTTAATAAGGTTGCAAGTTGGGGCATTCAGAAACTTGGTTTGACATCTTATGCCACTCGTTGTGCTGGAACATATTCGGGAGGCAACAAACGAAAACTGTCAACTGCATTAGCATTAATTGGCAATCCTTCTGTTATATTTTTGGTAAAATTCTTGTTTCAAATTCTGTATTTGTGAGAGATTAACAAAATGACATAATAAAATCTTATAGGATGAACCAACAACCGGAATGGATCCAAAGGCACGAAGGTTTTTATGGAATTGTATTATTGATTTAGTAAAGGAGGGCCACTCTGTAATTCTAACATCTCATAGGTAAAACTTTTTAAATTAAACTAACTAAATAAATAAAATTTTTAACATTGAGTAATTATTTTTTAGTATGGAAGAATGTGAAGCATTGTGCACACGTTTGGCTATTATGGTTAATGGACAGTTCAGATGTTTAGGGAGCATACAACATCTCAAAAATAAGTAAGTATATTCATATAGTAATTTATTCAAAATTAATAGCTTATTATAGTGACTCTATATCTTAGTTTTTTTTAACTTATAAAGAAAATCTAGTTTTGAATATAATTCAAGATTATAAATATTTTGCAAAAATAATCCTGAAAATAGTAAAAGGATAAGTGATTCAATTCAGTTACACAAGGGGTAGTTCAGTGTTGACCTGAACTTTATATCACTGTAAAAAAAATAAAGAACACAAAAAGCACAGCAGTATTCAGTTTTATGCTGTAATCCCCTGTACATCTATACGTTTTTTTCAGCTTTCATGTACTTGTTGATGCTAGCAACATAAGTTTTTATCCTGAGCATGAGCTCCTTGTCAGATGAGAATTTAATTTCACTAAGGTGTTCCTTTAATGGACCAAACAAATGAAAGTTACTAGGGGCTAAATCAGGACTGTAGGACAGATGACTGAACATCTTCCACTGTAGTTGGGTCAATGTGATGACAGATGCACTGTAAAGGCCATGTTTTATCATGCAGGAATCAAATACTCAAATACCTTTGCAGATTTTTCCCATGTTATGGCTACACCATGCACCAGTTAGACAGTATGAGCTCTTCCATACAGCTTCCAAGTTCCTCTCAGTCACTATGGTGTGTTCATGTGAGCATAGGGAAGGTTTGTAACTGTCTCTCTGCCTTCAGAAAATTTATTGTACCAATCAAAGACAGTGGTGTGTGATAGGATCAATTCACCAAACTATGCTGAGAGTTTGTGTTGAATGCCAGCTGGTTTAACTTTTCTATTGAAAAGAAAGTTGATGATATAGTGGTGATGCCATATCCTGCTATGTCCACCAGGGATGAATTTATCACATTCCATTTTTGTTTCAAATCTTCGTACAATAGATCATACCAAAAAAATACAATAAAACCTAGGTGAACCCTTCATCACCTATATATAAATGTTAAGATAAAAACTTGCATTTCACAGTATGAATCCAATGGCTGATTCTGCATATGTCATTTTTCCTATACTTTCTTTAGATTGTATGACCCTCCCCAATGCCCTGCTAGCTGCCTCACTCTGGTGGGGAAGGCAATGTACATCAGGAATATAGTATATATTCCTGGTAGGGCCTCCCAAAGCGTGAAAGTCTTCCCAATATGCCCAGCAAAATGCTTACAGGGAAAACAACAAAACAGCATCAGTTTCCCTATGTTAAGGGTGACTGTCAGGGTGATTGACTCCATGTTAGGAGTGACCCACTTTCTGAGTATGATAGTGGCCGTCATGTGCACTTGGGCCAATTCTTTGACTGACTAATACAGTAATACCCCGACTTACGCGATTTTCAAATCTCGTCGATTCGTCTTTTGTTTGAGGGCCACGCAACCCTTGATTACTCACTCCCCACACACTATAGTTCAGCTTACATGTTCAGATGTGTCGCGCGGAATCCACACATAGCTACAATTTATTTTGTGTTATTTATTTCTGTGTTTGTTAAATCTATGGAGACTCGAGAGACTCTACTATGTCATCCAAATGAAGTAGAACTAATTCTTCTGCATCAAACAAGAAAAGAAAAACTTTATCTTCGGAATGTAAAGTTAACATTGGGTATGTTCGTAAAGTCGAACGAGTTAAACGAGAATGACGTCATCGTTATTCCTATTTCGTTAGTAACGAATCGTTCGAAAAGTCTAACGCATTTAACTTGTTTGACTTTATGAACGTACCCATTATTAAAGACTTCGATACAAAAATGAAAATTTGTGAATTGGCAAAAGTTTGATCTACCAGAATTGTCAGTCAGAACAATTATAAAAGGAAAAGAAAAAATTCTCGAAGCTGTGAAAAATGCTCAATCTTTAAATTCAAGCATCATTCATAAATGTCACAGTATTGTTGCTGAGATGGAAACAATGTTAAAAATATGGCGTAATAATCAAGTAAATGTGAAAAATTTTAAAATAATATAGGCCTAATTTGTTATACATATGTATTATCTAAGATTTTATTAAACATTTTTTTCTAAATTATTGTTTTCTTTAGTCTCCGGCCCCAATTAAAAATTATTTGTATGTATTTATATGCGANTATTAAAGTAAAATATATTGTAAAAGTGTGAATGTATCCTCTTAAGTGTGTTAATAGTAATTAACCTGAAAAAAACGTTCATTATTGCTGCAACATTTCAATAAAGTGCATACGAATTTTTCTTGAAAAAAGTTGTAATTGTAAAGGTTTTTATGAACATTTGTAAAGTGTGCAACGTATTAATGTGAATATGTAGTTGAAGTGTTTTTTAAATGGCTGTATTTTTAATCTTTTCCAACGTTACCAATTATACACCGAGGTTTTTAGAAAACAGAATCTGAGGTAACGTATAAGTGTAACAATTGTTTAATAGTTTTATGTCAGTAAATATTATCTACACGCGAAGAATTTTTGTAATCTCACTAATTGTATATAATTTTTAAGTAATTGTATATAAATTTTTTAAACAGTTTGTACTGAAGAGGGACTTAAATTACAATTGAGTCCGAAATGCATATGACAAATCAATAAAGGAAGTTCATAACCTGAATGCTGTATATGATAGTCTACCAAACTGAAAATCGGATTAAAGAGATAAATTCATAACGAAAATAGCAGCAGCCATAAGAGAACTTCCATTGTTACTTAAAACTTTTATTGTTACTTAACACTTCCATTGTTGATGGAAGTGTTAAGCCTTAATCCTGTCCCTCTCCCCCATGGAGAGGAATTTCGAAAAATCCCTTCTTAGTATGCGTTCTCCTAACGTACTCTAACTGTGTACCAAATTTCAACTTTCAACTCCTAACCGTTTGGGCTCGTATCCATAATGTATATAGAAGTTTTAATCCTGTCTCTCTCTCCCCCGGGGGGAATTTCGAAAAATCCCTTCTTAGTGTGCGTTTTCATGACGTACCCTATCTGTGTACCAAATTTCAACTTTCAACTCCCAACCGTTTGGGCTCTGCGCTTATTATTATTATTATCATCAACCCGTCTCGATTATATATTTGATAATAGATAGATGTCATTGTCTCTCCAAATACTGTATCTTTTTTATTTCTGTCAATATCCCAACGTGTGTTCAGCAGCCATCTTGTATTTTCTTGCACACATGGGATTGTGGGAGCTCTCTTGAGTCAATCATGATTGAAATGGTCGAGAGAGGTCGCACCAAGCATAGTCACCGACCTTGGTCACAATCTAGATTGAAATGCTCAGTGCGAACGGGTATTACAGTTAACTTAAATAATATGTGGCTGTCTTTAAGAGAAAGTACTTTTAATTAGCATGTTAAATAAGAAATATCAAAAATAGTTATAGTTTGAAGAAAAAGAAAGATTCACAAATTAAGTATGTAAGTGACAAATCCACAAATAGAATAATTTCAATTGCTCATTTCATTTCCTTATTTGCAAGTGATATTCTGATTGATTCACTTTGTCATTTAAATGAAATGCAATTTCATCACAAAAGTACAATTTTTGATAACCTATCTTAGTTTTTTTTAAGCTCTGATCCTTATGAATATGAAAACCTATTTCAGGTTGTTCTGACTTACAGCTATCTTAATCTAAGTTATACATTTTTCAGCATAATTCCCATATGTGTGATTGGGATGTGACTAGGTATTTAATAGTTATCATCAATGACTTTCAGAATATAAAATGGCCATTGATAGATATGAATCTATCTCATCTGAGACAAGATAGTTTGTTTCCAAATTATCAATTCAAACTGCAAACATGAATTCTGTTCTTATAGTAGAATATCATTGCAAAGGGATTATTCTTCAAGTCTCATTAAACTGTAGCATAAAGAAAACTTTTGTCTGGTTTAGAAATACATTTCAGATTACATTTGCTATGGTTGAGTGAGTGAAATATATTAATGAAAAATTTTGACAATCTAGCACTTATATACAGCTCTGTATATTAGTATTTAATTGTAAAAATCTATAAGTTCTAGAAATTTAACATTAACTTTTTCAGATATGGTGCAGGATATACACTAACATTAAGAGTAGGAGGTGAACTTTCTAATATGAGAGAAGTTGCATCTTATATTGAAAAAACATTTGGATCAATGGCAGTTCTTCAAGAGCAACATCTGAATCAAATGGAATATCAGCTAGCACCAACTCTCTCTCTTTCTCATGTATTTAAAGAATTAAAAAATGCCACTAGGCTACTTGAAATAGAGGATTATTCAATTTCACAAACAACTCTAGATCAGGTTAGTTAAATATTTAATACATTTTACTTAACTTGAATAAATTATTAATTTTAATATTAACTTTTTGTTAAAAGGTTTTCATCAGTTTTGCTAAAATGCAAGCAGATGTCAGTGAAGAACTACCACAAACAACTTTTCAATGCATCTTCAAGAATGGAGTTACATTAAATAAGAAGAAGAAAAGTAAAAATATATATATATATATTAAATTTTCTGATAAATTAAAAGTATATTTGTTTAATTATATATAAAATTTAGGTGGCCAAGGAAACAACAAAATTACACAGCAAGCAGGAGATATCGAGCTGTTCATCCGAAGACCAAATCCCAACATACCACCCGAGCTAGTGTGAATAAGTGACTTGCCAAGTTGTTTTGTTTCATATTCATACATTCACTCAGGACCTAAATATCTTGGACATGTGAATATCCAAATGCCATTAACCCAATTCAACATGATCTTTTTTATTTTATAATTCAGTTGAGGCATTTAGTGAAATTTATATTTATTAAATAATGCATTTCACAGTTGAAACATCATCTCCCAAATCAAAGTTTCACTTCCTATATTTTACAGAACTGTTCCTAGCACATTTATCAGGCTACTACCTATTTTTACAATGTTAGATTACAGAAAAGTATTTATTATTAATATACAGAAAACTATTTTTTAAATCATGCCCCCCAAAAAAATATCAAATTTGATCTTTGGCTATCTCTAATTGATAATTTAAGAGTTGCCAGCTAAAATTAAACGAAGCTTGCCAATGTAATAATTTATACATACACACAACAGTATATAAATTCCAGTTTTTGGTACACGAAACTGGATGTAAAAGTTTCCTGTGATACTTTCGTTTTCACACTCCCGGTAGGCTTATCCTACTGTGTATATGTACATAATTTTGTTTATTGATCTGATTTCTTTTAGACAATTGTATACGTGCATATTATTTTTTTAGGCAGTTGTTTTTTGTCTTCCACATCATGCCAAGTTCCCAAATTGTGGTAGGCATCGAGTCGGAAGAGTTGGAATGTAGATAACCTTGCGCGTTTCAGTTTAGTTCATGTCACCATCATCCTGTTCATTGTAATATAATTAAACACATTGTTATATGACAGATCTTATTCAAAGTTGTAAAATTTTTAAAAAAGTATTTCCATTATATTCCTGGAGAAAAGAAAAAGAACTATTTTATTACCATGTTTGTTTAGTGATAGTTTAGTTCCGATTGTTGATTGTACATTTATTGAAACGGGAATCTTTCCTCCACAGAGGACGTAGTCAGTTTTATTTTGTGTGCTAGATACATTCCACGTGCATTGGCACATCTCTAGCTTTGGAGAATAAACCCTGTTCTTTCTTTTAATATTTACATCCCTTTGGAAGGGCATTTGTATTTGTTTTATTTTATGTAGTAGTCAAATTAATTGCGTCATGCATGTGTCTGTGATTTTTAAGTGATACTGTCATAATATATTTAGTATTTTCCTCAAATTGCTGCATTTGCTTTCACTACGGGTTTCAGACATTCTGTCGGCAGTTCAGAATAAGAGATTGGTCTCTGATGTGTTTAGAATTTTGATGCATGTCACACAAACGTTTGAAAAAAAATCTCAAAGTTTTCAGAATCCTCACTTTTTATTTTTAAATATTGGTAGCACTTGCGTGCAATTATAATTAAATTGTTTTTGAGTGATATATTGTGATCTTATTTATCATAAAAGTGATATTTAAAAATATATAATTTTGTGAATGTTTCTTCAATTTCANGCGGTTACTGCTTGGTCCCACCTATCGCATAAGTTCGGGGTATTACTGTACCATCAATGGGTTGCCAAATATCTTCGGATATCCTGGCTTGTATAGCATTCAAAATTGTATGATTTTACATAATAATTAGGCTTTTTATGGTGGGATTACATTAATTATTTATTGACTAATTGTCTTTTAACCATATTCTTAAAAAGAGCTTTTTCCCTGTACTACAGAGAACAAGAACAATGTCTTCATTCAGAATTGTAAGTGTTATTTATATATAAACAATATCTTTATATTTCAAATATTCCAAAAAAAAAGTCAAATCAATGAAAGAAATTCTTTTTCATTTAATTAAACAAAGAATGCCAGACAATTCATTTCGATAAAGATTGTTGTTGGGAGCTATACCACACTATTGATGGGTGTGTCATTTTTTATCTGTCTGTCAGTGTAATTCCACATTGCCCTATTTACATATCCATACATCATGGGATAAGTTACTGATGTAAATTAGTATATTTAGATTTTAGCACATTTTGGGCATTTCTTAGGAGTTTCTGTCCGAAAAGAAAATTGACTTTTGATTCCTTACATCCCTCCCCTCTTAACAAAAGAAATGAAATTATTTCCGAATCTATAATACTAAAACCAGTGACTGTCTCATTTCCACAATGTTATTAGACAGCAACATTGTCATAGAGCAGTCAGTTGACATTCATACAATTTAGGTGGAGATTAATCGTCAGTTGTTGGTTTCACAAGGCCATAAGAGCCTAATTTTGCTCTTTTTGTGCTGTTCTAAATTATGGAAGAAAAGTTCAACCTTGTTAGTGGTGCTCCCTCACTGGGGATTTCATGATTAGTCCTGAGGGCTAAGTCGTCTCCAATTGTCAATTTGTTGGTAAAGGTAGCAGAAAAAGGTAATTTGATGTATGATGTATGATGCCATCCATGCCTGAGTCCTCCAGTTTATAGACTGGTAATATGGTAATATTGCCATTAGTCTCATAAGGTCCAGACCATTTGGGGGCAAACTTTGCACTAAAATGGATGAGTTTTTAATAATACTGGAGTACCCATCTTATATGAAATTGGCCACTGTAAATTTTTGGAGTCTTGTATACTTGTACATATAGCAAAGGCTAATTCTGGAGATGCAAGTCCCAATTTTGATGGTTTTTCTCCACATGCTGATATCATCTGCTTAATGTTCTATTTACTCGTTCTATGATAAAGATATCAAAGTACCTGTTCTTGTTAAATAGCCACAATTCATATCAAGACTTATGAGCTAGCTATAAGTCATATATTAACTATATCTTAAGTGGGAATAACTCCCCCATTTGTTAAAGCCTTCATATCAAGATATGAAAGGCTTTAACAAATGGTTATCTTTGCCGCTTCTGTGTCTAATAGAGAAATTAAATTCTCATTAGCCTACCTGAGAGATTTTTAGAGCTTTACAGCCATCATAAATTTGGTTCCATCCAAATATTCTCTAAATTTTTCAACAGTCCATATATGGCCAGACATTCCAATTTGGTTGCTGCATAGTTCCTTTTAGCCTTTTGGAGTGTTATACTTGCATATGTGACGGGTCTTTCTTGACAAAGGATGGCCCCTAGTCCAACTGTGCTAGCATTGGTGTAAAGAGTAAACGGAACATCTTGTTGAGGCAACTATAAAATAGGAGCAGTTATAAGCTTTTCTTTTAAGGATTGAAAAGACTTCTCACATTCAGGGCTCCAATTCCATTTGGTTCTTTTCCATCTTAATTGATACAGAGGTTCGGCTGTACCAACTACCCATTCCTAAGAACATACTTAATTGTTTCGTATTGTGTGGTCTTGAAAATTCATTGATGACTTGTACTTTACCTTTTTCTGTGGACAACCCCTCATTATTTATCTGAAATCCTAAGTAATGCACATCCAGTCAACAAAAATGACTTTTAGCTAATTTAATTGTCAGTCCTGCCTCTGACAATCTTCACAAGACTTCCTCAATATGTTGGAGGTGTTGTGAAAAGGTAGAAGAATATATGATTATGTCATCTAAGTATACCTCACAATAATACAACTTTATTCCTTGCAGAACTTGATTCATTAGATGTTGAAAGGTCATTGGGATGTTTTTCAAGGCAAATGGCATTACCAGAAATTTGTAAAGTCCTTTGTTAGTGATAAAACTTGTCTTAGGCCTATCCCCTTCTTTTACAGGCACTTGCCAATAACCTGACGACAAATCCAGTGTAGTAATGAACTTAGCATTCTTCAACAAGTTCAATAATTCTGAAATGACAGACAAATTTTCCTGGCCTGTTGTTGTTACACTATTCAACTTTGAAAAAGACTCTGTGTAGATTATTCTATTTGCCATAGCTTCACTGTAGCCCTGATTATTCCTTCTTTTAACATTTCACTAATTTGTCTATGCATTTCTTCTTGTTTAACTGGAGAATACCTATACGTTCAGCTTGAGACTAGTGGGGCATCTCCAGTCTCGATTGTATGTTCTACAAAATTTGTTAGTCCTAGTCTGTCATTGAAAATATGCAAAACATTATTCAAGGTATTTTTTAGTTTTATTACATTTTCTTCTTTTAATGGAGTCTGTAGGTCCTTTTCATCATAATTAGTAATTAACCCAGTATCTGGGAAGTCAGTTTCCATTACTAAATTACAAAAATTTAAGGATACCTTTATATTTTTGCAGCAAGTCTTTTCCAAGCAGGCATGGTAGTGAACTCATTGTAATATGGTGTGTTTTCTCTTGTAGTATCTTCCTTCTATGGCCAATTTATCATCAGGGCCTGGGCAGTGTGTCATCTCCAGGGATTTCCTTAGAATTTGATGCCATATATCTAAATTTATTAGTGAATATTAGTTGGTACCAGTGTCAATTCTGACATTAGTCATTAGGTCGTTAATTAATATGGTTAGTTTTAGTTTTCATTATAAGTTCCAAATGGAAGAGTTTTTTTTGTGTTTTGAGGACCAAGCCTTCCCTCTTGGCCTTGGTTTTAGTTTAAATTCTGGTTTCTCCTCTTACCTTTGCCCCAGGTAGGATTAGAAGTTTTTGGAATGATTTTGCTTCAAGTTTGTTTGTTTACAGGACAGTCTCTCGAATAATGCCTACTAGTTCCACAAGTATAGCATCGCATGGGAAATCTTTGAATCATATTAGAAGCCCTCACCACACCAGGTCTTGGAGTCTGTTTGCACTCAGGAATGATTTGTCTTGAAGCATCAGTTTTCTCAAAAAGTTGTTGACTGGACCATTATCTTTAAACTTCATATTCTTTTGTGGTTTGCACTAATTCATTAAGAGAATAGCAATGTTTAATTTCTATATATTCGTGTAAGTTTAGAAGCATTTGAGTCATTATGCAGTTGATGATTTCTTCATTCCTGGTGAGGGGTTTCCAGATATGATAAAACTGAACTGTGTTCCAAATGTACTGTTATGCACCTTCTTTGTTAGAACAACTTCATCTGTAAGAGGAAAATATAATTCTTTAAGCAGATGGATAAAGTAAATATAGTAAATAGTTGCCAGCTATTACCTACTTTTTTCCTTCCATTGTTCTGCCACCATTTGGCAGGTGAACTGTCTAATAAGAAGGTGGCTGTATCAACCCAATGGTTACTTGAGACTTGAATAATGAAGAAATATTGTTCAAGATCCTGGATACTCAGAAGTGCCATTGAATTTTTTGGATGATGATGATACACAAGTTGGCGGCATATTTGAAATGCTATCTTCTGGATCAGTTCATTTCACAGATTGCAGTTCTACCTGCTTGGAAGATAGGACAGAGGCAATACTTGCCATATTTTGAATCAGTGCAAATAATTGTTGTTGTAGAGCTAGGAACTCCTCATGAGTAATGGTATTTTTGCCAGACATTGTTTCGCTTGGGAGATAAAAGATTGGTGTATTTATTGTCATCAAGTTTTTGACCAATAAGATCACTGTGTGGGCACCAGTTATGTAATATACCACACGACACAATTTAGGGTTCAAATCAAGTACTAAGCCTGGACTTAATGGGAAGCAAAATATAATGATCCAAAATAACACAATAATATATACTTGTTACTAATTGTTGTTTATATATAAATATTTCAAATAGTCCAAAAAAAAAGTAAAGATCAATTATATAAAAAATAAACAATCAATCAATGAAAGAAATTCTTTTTCATATAATCAATCAAATCTCCAGCAAAATAATTAAAGATTATTATTAAAATGCTTCTTATGAGCTGATTGCTTATCAAAGAATGCCAGGCAATTCACTTCAATGAAGGTTGCTGTTGGGAGCTACACCATACTGTTGATGGGCTTGTCATCTTTTATCTGCATTGGCCTTTTTGCATATCTGTGCATCTCAAGATCAGTCACTGATGTAAATTAGTATATTTAGATTTCTATTTTTGACTTTAGCACATTTTGGGGATTTCTTAGGAATTTCTGACCAAAAAAACAGACCTATTCAGATCTTTTTTTTTACAATAGAGCATTGATTATTCAAAACAGGGTTTTTCGGATAACTGATCATGTACGAAAAAATATATTAACCTATCCCATGTTGAAATTTTTCTCTATTGTGTGTCGCTTTGCATTGAATTTTCGTCAATGTTAAGCCTAATGAAAATTTTTTTAAAATAATAATCCTGGCTGTTGTATCATTAAAAATTATTTCTTTATTTTGCACAAATAAAATAAATATAAATTTTTTATCTTGTATCAAAAACGTTCAGATTCAGCACAACACGTCCCAACACAGTCCTCAGNTGTTAAGCCTAATGAAAATTTTTTTAAAATAATAATCCTGGCTGTTGTATCATTAAAAATTATTTCTTTATTTTGCACAAACAAAATAAATATAAATTTTTTATCTTGTATCAAAAACGTTCAGATTCAGCACAACACGTCCCAACACAGTCCTCAGAAAAACACCACACAAAACAAAGCTCACCACTCACGATGGAAAAAAAGCCTCATTCAAATACTGGTGCATCCTTGGGTACCTTTCATGGTCATGCCAGTGCTGCCAACAAAAATAATATTGGAATAGCCCAAGACATAGCCAAATATTGCAGAGCCACAGCACTAGCAGAAATTTGAATTTGCCGACTGGAACACTTTTGGTTAACCAATATTTTGGTTGATTGGTATTTGGATAATAAATGCTCTACTGTAACTATAACTAAAAATAAAGATCGGATTTCAATTTCTTACATTACGTTCGCACACAATCCACGACTCGCTTCGATCTTGATTTACACTGATTCGAGTGGCAACTCTCTTGAGTCACCAGTCGAACATCGTGCTGTTTGCACAGACAGTCTGCTTGAGAAGAACCTGGCTATTACACATGATGATAAAACTACATAACTATGCGGTAAGTCAAACACCAACAAACAAAATGAAAGTTTTGGTTAGAAATAAATACAGTACTTTTTCTTGCCATATATCTAACTAGCAGGTGGGCCTGGCGTTGCTCGGGCAAAAGTAACGATAACTAAGATAAAGATTATTACGTTACAGTCAACCTTACCCGTTTTCACAGAATGCAAGAATTGGGTCCCCCTTGTTTCCAGACTAATTAGAGAATTTTTAGATGTGTCTAAAAATATGTTCGATTTCCCGCAAAAATGAAAAAACTGCATCTGCGTATTGCACGTCGCTTTCTCTTAACAATTCCATTGTTACGTAACATTTCCATTGTTGTGAATTTGTTTCTTTAATCCGATTTTCAGTTTGGTAGACTATCATATACAGCATTCAGGTTATGAACTTCCTTTATTGATTTGTCATATGCATTTCGGACTCAATTGTAATTTAAGTCCCTCTTCAGTACAAACTGTTTAAAAAATTTATATACAATTACTTAAAAATTATATACAATTAGTGAGATTACAAAAATTCTTCGCGTGTAGATAATATTTACTGACATAAAACTATTAAACAATTGTTACACTTATACGTTACCTCAGATTCTGTTTTCTAAAAACCTCGGTGTATAATTGGTAACGTTGGAAAAGATTAAAAATACAGCCATTTAAAAAACACTTCAACTACATATTCACATTAATACGTTGCACACTTTACAAATGTTCATAAAAACCTTTACAATTACAACTTTTTTCAAGAAAAATTCGTATGCACTTTATTGAAATGTTGCAGCAATAATGAAC